GGCACCAGCTGCTGCTCTGCTCCCCGGCCCGGCGTTCGGCCCCGTGCCTGCTCTTCGTGCTTCTGCTGTGGTTTCCCTGCACCTGCCAGCTGCACCCCCGACGGGCGAGGCCAGTCCGAGGAGCCTGGACGTGGGTGCCAGCCCCTCCTGCCCAGCCCCTCCCACCCCCTGGACTTGGGTCCCAGCCCCTCCCGTTCTCCCCAGCACAGCTGCCCCTCCCCCGTCGCCTTGTTCCCAGCCGGTGCAGTCTGGTTCTGCGGGCCCCTCTCGGGCACAGACTCACTGGGAGTTTCTGGGCCCCTTTCCCATTGGCCACAGACAGTCGCAGCTTCTCTGCAGTTGGCCGAGAACTGTGGTGGGTACTGAGTTATCAGGGCCTCCGGAAGCTCATCTAACGTCTTCCAGATCTTTCTGGCTTGGAGCCTCCTCCCAGCCCGTGTGTGAGTGCAGACGGGCCAGGGCTGTCAGAGTGAGGACAGGAAATGGGAGGGGGGGGCGTCCCCTCACTGAGCCTCCCTCTCCCGGCCCTGCTCTGTGAGGGCAGGGACAGGAGTCAGGGCCCATGGCTGCCCTCAGGGACCACCCAGCCAGGTGTGGGCACTGGAGGCCCTTCTAACGGGTGCCCCTGCCCGTGGGGTGGGGACAACACCCAGACTGCGTTAGAGGGGTGGCACCCGATGGGGCTGGAGGCGGCGTCTGCGACAGCTGCTCCTAGGGGTGACCCTGAGCCTGAGGCACGTGGGACCAGGGTCTCGGGGGGCAGGTGGGTTTCCTTCCTCACGTCCTGTCCTGTTAGAGCCTCAGGCGAGGGTACGTTTGTGTTGGTTTTGGAGAGAAACAGAGAGAAGCAGCGATTGGTTGCCTTTCGCACACACCCTGACCGGGGACCCGCAGCCTGGCTGTGTGCCCGATTGGGACTCGAACCCACAACCTGTTGGTGCCGGGATGACGTTCCGCTCACTGCACACCGGCCACGTCTGTCATCGCCAGCTTTGTTTCCATTTCCAACCCAGCGTCGGCCGAAGGACCAGGGCTTGAGTCAAGGTTACTCCAGGTCAGGAGAGGAGTCGCCGCACAGCAGTGAGCGGCCTCGTGTTTGGAAGCGGAAGCCACAGGACGATGTGCTTTGTGTGCGAAGCCGTCACCTGCCCACTCCCCCGCCTTGTGCTTTTATAACTGAACTCGTTAAAGCAGGACCTGGGGGTGATGGGCACAGGCCAGGCTGAGTCGTAGGTCAGAACCGTGCATCGGCCAGTGCTGGTCCTCTCGGCTCGGGAAGGAATGGGCACAGCTGTGAACACCTGGGCCCCCGGGGGCGAGGGCGTTGGGGGCCGCAGAAGGCGGCGCCGTTTCAGGTGGGCGCCCGCGTGCACTGCCTTCCCTTCCATCCTCAGGGGAAGGGCGCCACCTAGCGAGGGAAGGTTGCTGGACGCGGTTCACCTTGAGTTCTTGCTTCCGGGCCTGCGCTGCAGTGGATGCCACATGTGCCAGGGCCGTCCGCTCCCTCCTGAGCCCTCCCAGGCCTCCAATGCCCAAGGGTCACTGGGAGGGCTCAGGGGTCAGCCAGGCGGCAGGTGTCTCCGGGGGAGTTTGTGTCTCCAAACCAGCTGTGCCGACAGCATCGGAGCAGCGTGAGCCGGCACCTTGCCAGCCGAAAGCCCCCCTCCCGCTCCAGGTGCTCACGGGGTCCTGTCGCTCCGGGAGCAGGCACAGGGAGCCCAGCTGGCACAGTGAGTCCTGGACCTGGAGGGGTGGGAGCACAGGACACGGCCAGGATCTCCTGGGACCCTGTCCCCGAGGGGACCGTGCGGGCGCTGTCCACACGGCTGGGCCGCAGGTCGTCCGGGAGGCTCCTGGTTGCAGACCCACGCCTGCTTCTGGTGGTTCCTGGCGAGAAGAAGGTGGTGTCTCCGGGAGGGTGGGCGCGGAGCCGGCGGACGCGCTCGGTTCTCCGGGGACTTGGCGAGGCCTGAGCTGCAGTTGGCACATGGGCCGTGTTTGGCTCCGTCGGGCGCCAGGCACCGTTGTTCCCGCCCCTCGTCCCTCAGGCTGGGCAGGCAGAGGCGTTCCCTACCAGGAGGCCGGTTGTGCGGTCGATGGGCCCCCATGTGGGAAGGGGCCCCTCTCGGTCCCGCGGGGGCTCCCCTCGGCGTCCAGACTTCTTAAGAGAAAACGGTTTGTCGGTGTGTTTGGCCGATGTCATCGTCTTCACCGCAGACCTGAGTCCTCGGCAGAGGGAGCGGCTGGGCCAGGGACAGGCCTCGGGGACGGTCAGGGCCTCCGCTGACGCCTTCTCTCAGGATGGGCGGCGCCGGCGCCGCTCCCATCTCCCGGGCCGCTGTTCGCGGCACCGTCGGGCGCGGAGGAGGTGCTGGGTCTGGGGAAGCTGAGGGCACGACAGCCCACATAGGTTTCTGCTCTGGGTTTTCCGGCTACGCCTGTTGACCAGCTGAGCCAGAGGGCGACAGGGAGGGTCCCGGGAGGTGGCTGCAGTCTGCACCCGCGCCCTGGGCCAGAGGCGGACACGCTGCCTTGCCCGCGTGGGTGGAGGACGTCTGACCCTCCCTCCCATGTGTATGTATCACTCGTCTCTCACACATCCTAGCACCCAGGGGGATTCTTGAAAGGAAACACACGTTTAGACAAACGCTGTGGCAGGTCGCATCCTTTTCCTCGCTCACATCCGGTCCATGTTCGGAGGTTGAGGAAGAGGCTGCTCACAGGCCCCATTTCTCCAAAGGTTTCTGAAGGTTCTTGGCGAGCATCAAAGACACAGCAAAGGTGGAGTCAACAATGGGATGTTCAGCTCTGAATATCAAAGAGCCCAGAGGCCTGGAGGCTGCGGGCGGTGCTGACGGGTGAGAGCCGGAGGTGAGAGCCAGGTCTGCTCTGGGCCGGGCCAGGGTGACTGATGCTTGGGTAGCAGCGCTTCTGAGAAGGGCTGAGTTCGAGGAGCAGCGTCCAGGACAGCTGGCGGCTCCTGGCGGCCTCGGCCCATTGGGCCTGCGGGGCCTTCTCTTTCCATCACTGAGGTGTCATCTGATCTGTGACAAGGTGCCTCTTACAAACGCACAAAACCAGTGTCTGTGCAGGCCTGACTGCTGTGACTTGTCGCGTGAACATTCCCGCGATTTCGGCTCCTAACTTGTGGCACATCGGTGGGCTCACGGGGCTCCGGCCGCCAGACCTGACCCCACGCTGGCTCGTCTCTGATTTGTGTTCGTGCTGACGGCGAGGCGTCTCCTTGGCCGCTGTGCAGAACCAGTGTTTTCTCCCTGCAGGTGCTACTCCCCAAGGACCTTCATTTCCTCGGCCCTGACCTTGATCTGCCCGATTTTCCCAGGTCCCTGTGGGCTTGGCTGACCCTGCACGTCTCGGCCGTGCCTGGTTGCTCCCCGCCAGCTGGTGTGTCTGTGGCCTCGAGCCCCCCTCCCCCGCAGGTCTTAGCGTCGCCCTGACCGGCGCCCACACGGGTGCTGTCCCTTCCTGTCCCCCGGCTCGTGGTGCCCGGGGTCAGTCACGCTCATGGGAGGGTTGTCCGACGTTCCCCTGTGAGCGGACGGGGGTGTATGGGGACGTCTCAGCACCACTGCGGACGGCTGTCCCCGGGGTGTGTCCCAGACCCCCCTGGGCACAGGCACAGCGGGAGGGAGGCTGGG